GGTACAGGTACAGTGGTTCACGTACCGGACTCACTACAAGGTCTACAAGTTCTAGTCACACACCCGACTTCACCTGCCATTCAGGTGGTCCCCCAGGCGGTGTGAGGGCAGCCCTTCCTCCATTACTCGTGCCAGATCGGTCCACTGGGAATTTTCCTCGCGCCCCAACACTGCACTGTCGCTGGCCGTATGGATTATCGCGTCATGATGCTGACTAAATATAGCAAAGCCTGTATCTTTTTTTATCTATTTAATTCCTTCATTCATTCTATTGCGGAAGGAACAAAGTCGTTATCGTAAAAAATATCCAGAACCCTAATACTCACCCCCCCTCACCCCGTGGCATCCCCCCCTCCAAGTCCCCGGGCCCTGAAGTCTAAACGCAACCACAAGCTCACGTGCTGATACACAGATTCCACAGCCAATCGATATTTAAAATATACCGCGAAGTAAATGGGCGAGGGAGAGAGTGAAAGAGGGAGAAGGGGAGAAGGGGAGAGGGGGAGAGGGGGAGAGGGGAAGGGATAGGGGAAGGGATAGGGGAAGGGATAGGGAGGGAGGGAGGGAGGGAGGGAGGGAGGGAGGGAGGGAGAGAGAGAGAGAGAGAGAGAGAGAGAGAGAGAGAGAGAGAGAGAGAGAGAGAGAGAGAGAGAGAGAGAGAGAGAGAGAGAGAGAGACAGACAGACAGATTAAAAGAAACCCAAAAGACATAGACACTAAACATAATACACAAACGAGAAATACCAATAAAATTAATAATAAAAAAACAAAAAACATCTCACCTACCACGACCCCCAAATACCCCCAAATCTCCCCGAATGGCGGCCCTCCACGCCACGGATAACCCGCAGTCCACTCCAGCCTTTCGTAAACCTGCCTCTATTAACGACCCTATACTTGATCCCTTAAGGTAGCCGCTTTGATCCCGCGCTTTTGGGGGGTCCGATCCTTCGCGATCACACGGGAATCCTATAACGACCTCCGCTGAGTCTACACAGTGCTTATACATACCCCTCGACAACCGCCAGGTCAAGCACCCAGGGCAATGGCGCCTCGTTAGCGCTCGGAAGGGGGAGGGAAGGGGGAGGGAGGAAGTGCAGGGGGGCGAGAGAGAACGAAGGGAAGAAACAAATAGAAACAAAATGAATAGACGAAGGAGAGACGAGAGAATATAAAGATAGGGGAAAAAAGTATGAGAAAAGAAAGAAAGAGCAAAGAGGGAGAGAGAAAAAACAAACTATGATACGAGACTGGAGCAGCAGCGAGAGAGTCATCAGTGTGGGACAATATGGCAGCCCTACACAAATCATCTTTCATATCAGGTCACAACAAACGAGGGAGGAGGAAGGGAGGAAGAGAGAGGAAAAGAGGCTTGGGAGAAAAATTGAAGAAGAGAGAAGATGGGCAGATGGAAAGGGAAAATACAGAGAAGGAGAGGAAAAGGAGAAGTTAACGGAATATGGAAACGAAGAAGAGAAGAAGAAAGCCTGATAAAAATAAATAAATAAATAAATAGGGGACAAAAAAATGGGAAGAAGGAAAAAATAATAAAGTAGAGAAGACTTAGGAATGAGGAGACGAAGAACAGAGGAGAGCAAGAAAACACAAGCGCAAGAAACAGGGCTCGGAAAAAAGAGAGGATGATGAAATAAGGGAAAAAGCTTGTGAAGAAAGATATAAAAGGGACGAAGGAAAGAAGCCACAGGAAGAACGAGATGACGAAAGAATAGAACAGGGTTAAAAATACTTAAGAAAGAAATGAAGAAGAGAGAGAAAAAAAAACCCACCCACAGAAAAAGGTAATAAAAGACAACAAACAAACCCCTGACACACCGAGCTCGGCAACGCAAGCAGCAGCGACGGGGAAATCGAGAGCGAGCCGGACTCCCGATGAGAAGCAAGCAAAACAAGAATTTCAGGAAGGGATATGAGAACGCCTGGGGAACAGCTGCCTGAATGAACTGATATTGGGGGCCAGGTGCTGTATTTAAGTGCGGGGGGGAGGGGGGAAGGGAGGGGAGGAGGAGGGGACCCGTGAGGGGTAAGGTGTTCATGGGTGAGGGGAGGGGTAAGGAGGATGGGCAGGGGGGGGAGACCTGGTTTCGCCGACTCTTTCTGCCTCTGATGTTATTCTACATATTCCCTGAGGAATAAATATTCCCCCCAATAAATAGAATGAAATGTCAACCGTGATCAGGCATAGAAAACGAGCAAGCGAGTCACTGAAATACATTGCATACGTTTTCTTTACCAATGGCTATCTATTGTCGACGAATAAAAGCAATCAGAGCTTCCTGTAAGGATCCTTTGTCTCTTTATAAGGACGCTTATAGCTTTTCCAAACACCAAGAAAGCAATAATAGAAGAATACACAGAGGGTGAAAAATAACTCGAGAATAATAAGGTTGGACTTGCGCCTCGGCACAACATGACAGCAAATGAATAAACAAAACATACTTTAAAAATAAGAAATATGTAATTAAATAAACGAGCTTGAAGG